CTGCCTACCTCCCGTGTGGTCGACTCCTCCCAAAGCACAAACAGATCAGCCACAGCGCCAGCCCCGAAACTTTTCCCTTTTAATAATTAATTTATTGGGGCCAGTGCATTGTGGTGTAGCAAGTAAAGCCACAGCCTGCCATGCCGGCATCCCATATGGGTGCTGGTCCCAGATCCGGCTGCTCCACTTCCGATCCAGCTCTCTGCTGTGCCCTGGGAAAGCAGTGCAGGATGGCTCAAGTCCTTGGGCCCCTGCACCCACGTGGAAGACCCAGAACAAGCTCCTGGCTCCTGGCTTAGGCTCGGCACAGCTCTGTGCATTGCGGCCATTTGGAGAGTGAATCAACAGATGGAAGACCTCTCTCTCTCTAACTCTGTCTTTTGAGCAATTAATTAAATCTTTGTTATAAAGGCAACAGAGGGGAGAGGTGTTGAACAGAAGTAGAAGAAATGACCGCAGGCCGGAGCACAGGTGACAGAGCTCAGGGGCCACCCCGGTTCTGGGACACTGGCCGAGTCACTACTCCCCTCTGGGCCCAGGTTGGGCCTGAACCAGCAACTTCAAATTCAGGCTGCAAAAAAACAGAGCAGAGAGCAGCAGCGTGCCTGGCGCGTGGCCAGGGTACTCAGTGGAGCCCGACGGGCGTCACATCTGTGCACGTGTGCGGCGGTCACACCAGAGACGGCTCCACCGCGAGGCTGATGGAGCGGGAACCCCAGGCCCCGCCCTTGTTTCGGGAAGGGACCAGCAGCGTGGCCCCTGCTTTTCCCGCTGACTTGCTCTCCATCCCGCTGTCCCCCGTGAGGTGCGATCCCCGGGCTCGCGCAGGCGCCCCGGGACCTGGTTAGCGGGAGGCTGAAGAAGAGGAGCGTGCAGTTTGAGCTGAGTGGGGGTCGTGCTTACGAGGGTCACAGTCAGTGACACAAACGTGATTCCTAGCAGCCCTAACACGGGAACGGCTTCCACTGCCTGTCTCACCTGGGAGGAAGAGACATCTCCCTTCCCTCCTCAAATGCCCACAGCAGCCAGAGCCGGGCCAGGCTGAGAAGCCTGGAAACCAATCCGGGTCTCCCACGCAGGTGCAGGCCCACGCGGCTGCAGGGGCCCAAGCACTCGGCCCTCCTCCGCGGCTATCCCAGGCGCACTAGCAGGGGACTGGACCGGAAGGGGAGCATCCGGGACTCGAACTGACACTCTGACGTTGGATGCCAGGGGCGCAGGTGGTGGCTTAGCCCACCGTGCCACGGCGTGAGCCCCCCAGTGCATCTGTGGTCGGGCACAAAGCCATGGCAGGCCCCGCACAGCTGGCGCCTAATGGTTGCTACATCAGGACACATGGGCTGGCGTCCCAGCGCGTGACACATGACTGATCGCAGATTATGAAGCTGAGAAAAACACTTCTAAGATAAAAAACATTTCTGGTCAATCTTGCTAGATGGCTGACTTGTTTTTCTCACTCCGAAAAAAAAAAAAGGAATAAAAATCATTGTGTGCATTTGGTCCAAAATGGTAGGAAAAACAGGGTACCATGGCCAGTCAGGGAGCTAAAACCACAACACCTCACTGTTCTCATTCATGGTTATGGCATTTGTCAGCCTTTTTTTTTTTTTTTTTCTTTTTTTTAAGATCTATTTATTCGGGGCCGGCGCTATGGCGCAGTGGGTTAACACTTTGGTCTGAAATGCCTGCATCCCATACCAGTGCCGGTTTGAGTCCTGGCTGCTCCACTTCCAATCCAGCTCTCTGCTATGGCCTGGGAAAGCAGTAGAAGATGGCCCAAGTGCTTGGGCCCCTGCACCTGTGTGGGAGACCCGGAAGAAGCTCCTGGCTCCAGATCAGTGCAGCTCCGGCCGTTGCGGCCAGCTGGGGAGTGAACCATCAGATGGGAGACCTCGCATGAGGGTGCAGGGGCCCAAGCACTTGGGCCATCTTCCACTGCTTTCCCAGGCCACAGCAGAGAGCTGGATCGGAAGTGGAGCAGCCGGGACTCGAACCAGCGCCCATGCAGGATGCTGGTGTTACAGGTGATGGCTTCCCCGTTTGTCAGCTTTTAAAATTGGATGTTTCCTGGGGATGTACTTCTCACTCTAAACAAATACATAATTTTGCATTAATGATTTTATGCTTTTTTTTTAATCCCTTTTTTTTTTTTTTTAACTACAGGATGCTCAGAGCTTGAGCTCGCCAGGCCCTGTAAACAAGAAACGCGTTTCCCGCCCCAGGAATCTGCCCAGATTCAAGCGCTGCCCTGCAGGGAGCTCAGAGATGCCTTCCAGCCCCAAGTCTGAGTCTGCAGGAAGCTGCCCTGGTCCCTCCTCTCAGCAGCTGCCACGCTAGCACACAGACAAGGAAGTCCTTTCCTGGAGCTCATCCAAGTCTTTCCTGCTGTCCTTGAAGACGGGAAGACAGAGCGGCAGTGTGCAGGAGCCGCGGGGAGGCCAAGGCAGGTGCCTCGGGGTGGGGTGGCGGGAGGCCAGCAGGACCAAAGCCCTCAGCCTGGGAGTGGAACTGAAGCCTCTCTCCCAACAACAGCACTCTCTAAAATTGAGGAGGCATTAGGCGCCTGCTGTGTGCTGAGTGCCATTCACCTGCTGTGTGCTGAGTGCCATGCAGGGAAGTGACCTCCTGCTCTCCTCCTGAGGTCACACTGAGGTCATACTCCCCCCTACCCGCTGCCTGCTTCCGTTTCTGGTTCCCAGGCACTTCCCCTCTCTGGTTGTTTCTTTGTGTTTAAGTTTTTAATTGTTTTACTTTCATTTTATTTGAAAGGCAGAGAGAGAGAGAGAGAGAGACAGCCCTGTCCCCTGGTCCACTCCCCAAAGGCTCCCATCAGCCAGGGCTGGGCCAGGCTGAAGCCAGGAGCCAGGGGCTTCATCTGGGTCTCCCACGTAGGCGCACGGGCCCGAGGACTTGGGCTGTCACCTGCTGCCTCCCAGGGCACCCGGCAGCAGGGAGCCGGATCCAAAGTGGAGCAGGGACTTCCATGGGCTGTGGCGTCCCCCGTGGCGCCTTGACACCTGCACCAGCCCCTCCCCGCCCACACACCGCCCCTTGCAGCAATCACCCAGCAGCACCAGCTTCCAGCACCCTGACCGTCCTGGCCCCGCGCTGACAGACGCACACTGTTGGTTCACTGGAATGTAAATCCTAGGAGGGAGGTGCCTCATTCAGCACAGGACCAGATCGCTCCCTGGAGCAGGTGAATGAATGGTACCGTCCATCAGTCGACTGAGGAGGGGCAGTATTTGCATACCGCCTTCCCATTGGTCAAAGCCAAGGTGTCTACTTTCCTTGCAGCCAGTGGGATGTGGGGTCACAGCAGGGGCCTCTGTGGCCACGCCCCTGTAATTGAGCTCCTCCTACTCATTGAAAAGGGGTGGGGGGAGGGATGGCTAGGGCTCTTCCCTCCCCAGCCCCAGCCGGTACCCTAAGCTGGAAGCAGCTGGGGCGCAGGCAGGCTCGGGACCAGGGTCCCACCGTGCTGCAGGGATGGTCCTCGCACGGACCCCCCCACCACTCCTAGACGAGCTCACGGCAGGTCTCGGGCCCCAGGGCGACAGAGCGGGCAGGGGAGCAAGGGCGGCCTGAATGCTGACTGGGTCCAACATTCCTGGCCCACACACCCGGGCCTGCTCTCCGGCTCCCCCTCTGCCTGACCACCAGGTGGTCACTCCCCAGGAAACCGGAACAGACCCAGCGGCACCCTGGGAACCAAGCGGCCCCTGCCTGCACCCTCCATGAAGCTCTTCTCAGCGGCTCTGCAGAATGGGGACAGCAGCCTGTGACACGTGTGACAGTCCTGGCACGTGGCCGTGAGCAGCAGCAATCGTCTGTCGTGGGATCACAGCGGAGCCGCCCCGAGGGAGACCCCCCTGCGCCCCAGCCCCAGTCAGGGGGCCTCAGCCTGCCTCCCCCCCACCACACCCAGCCCACTTCCCTCCACCCCGAGGGAGACCCCCCTGCGCCCCAGGTCAGGGGGCCTCAGCCTGCCTCCCCCCCACCACACCTGGCCCACTTCCCTCCACCCCAAGGGAGACCCCCCCCGCGCCCCAGGTCAGGGGGCCTCAGCCTGCCCCCCCACCACCCGGCCCACTTCCCTCCACCCCAAGGGAGACCCCCCCTGTGCCCCAGTCAGGGGGCCTCAGCCTGCCTCCCCCACCACACCCGGCCCACTTCCCTCCCAGCAGACCCTGCCGTTATTCCCGTTATTCCCAGAATTCCTGGGAAAGCCCTCGCTGCAGGCAGCCAACGAAATCGCTTCCCGCAGGGTGGGCGCCTGCGCTCCTTCGGCCCCCAGGGTCACTCCCTTCGGAAAGAGGATTCATGAAATGTCCAGGAGGATGCCTGGTTGCGTGCTCACACCAGGGAGCTGGACTGGAATGGGACAGTGATCACGCACCGGCTCCCGCAGGAGACGCGGGCCCCAAAGCCATCTGACGTTAACCAGAATGTACTCTGATATGAGGGCAGGCCGCTGCCCTCCCGCCCCGCTGTGCGGCGTTGGGTGCCCTCATCCATTCAGTGCACACTGACTGGGTGCTGCAGCCGGGGACAAGCCGGGGTCCCGGGGGGCTGCAGGGAGGTGACCGGTAAGGAGAGCGAGCGAATCTCCCTCCTCAGGGCTCTGGGTGACAGGGGAGCCTCGCACGACGGGGACGCGGTGAGCTGGCCATCCCTGCGCTGGGCTTTGACGGGGCAGGGCCCACGGGAGGCTGGGGAGACCCGTGGGGCCAGGTTCCTGCAGCCCCCCCTTTCTTCCCCTCCCTCGGCCCAGGGCGGGACCCGGGCAGTGAGGGCCGTGCTCCATGGCACCCGCTGGGCTGGACACCTGACCGCCAGCTCCTCTCCCCGACGAGGGGAGGTCAGCCACGTCTGGGCTTCACGGCTGGCTGGGGGAGGGGATTCTGGCTCCTCCGGCCTGCCGCGGGGTCAGGAAGCGCCCACATCCGGGTCCTTCCTTCAGTCTGAAGGACTCCACTCTCAGCCCTGACGACACTCACCGGTTAAGGGCCCAACAGATGCAATTCCTCTTTTTTTTTTTTAAGATTTATTTATCTGAAAGGCAGAGAGAGAGAGAGAGAGAGAGAGAGAGAGGTCTTCCATCTGCTGGTTCACTCCCCAGATGGTTGAAATAGCCAGAGCCACACCGATCCCAAGCCAGGAGCCTCCCCCAGGTCTCCCACGAGGGTGCAGGGGCCCAAGCACTTGGGCCACCTTCCACTGCTCTTCCAGGCCACAGCAGAGAGCTGGATGGGAAGTGGAGCAGCCGGGACTCGAACCGGCGCCCATGTGGGATGCTGCGCTGCCTTACCCACCAGGCCACAGCGCCGCCCCGCAATCCTCTTGATTGCGGGAGGTGACATTCGGGCAGGCGCCAGGATGAGAACCCGCACAGGGTGTGGGGGAGTGCCGAGTGGGGAGGGGGGGACAGGTGCGGGCGGCTCCCCGCTCACAGCCCACTTCAGACCGGTCTGAGTTCCACAGGGGCAGCGACCTGCAGCCGGGCCAAATCCGTGCTGTCCGAAAACAGAAAGTGACCCCCGGCGCGTGGCCGCGCCCGCGTCCATGCACAACACCCGGCTCTGCCTCGTATGTCGGCAACGAGGCCGAAAAATCAAAGCACACGCTCTCACAGCCTTCACTGAGGAACGCGATGAGCACGCGCGTCGCTTGTCTGTAGGACTTCAACGGCCTGCGGGGGCGGGACTTAGAAAAGCGTGCCCGGCTGCTGGACGCTGAGTTCAAGGGGAAAACTGACCCAGAGGAGGGCCCGGGGTCCCGGGACTCCCTCCCCGGAGGGCCGCCAGGGGGCGACCGAGAGCAACCCGGGCGTGACGTCACCAGGCGGCCCGGGCCCCGCAGCCCGGGGCGTGACGTCACCCTGGCCGCCCGAGCCTGGGGCATCCGCCCTCGCCGATTTCGGCGCTGCCCCCGCGGTCTCTCCTACCCACGGCCGCTGCCCGACCTTGTACCGAAGCCTCAGCGCACGCAGCGCCCCCGGGACCTGCGCGACCCAGGCCCGCGCGGCGACCACCCTCTGGGGCTGCACCAGGGCACTCGCAAAGCCCTGGTCTTTTCACGCCAGGTCTGCGGGGAGACCCGACCGCCCTTCGGCTGAAAGCCACGGCCTCTGTCCCCCGCCAGGCGCCCCACCTCCTGGGTCGCCGCTAGCCGTGGGCGTCCCCCGTCTCTTCCCGGGCCCGTCACTTCGCGAAAACACAAAACGCAGCAGTCACAGCCCCGGGGTCCGTGACCTCAGGCAAACCGCCAGGCTCAGAGCGACGGCCGTAAGCAGCCCTCAGACCGATTTCGTCATCACCTGCACAGTGGCCGACGAACGCCATCGCCCTTTTAAGAGACCCTCCCATTTTCGCTCCCGAGCGGAAGTACGCGCTGAGGGCTCCGGAAGTGACCTCAGAGCTAGAGCCCCTCAGAAACATGGCCGCGGGGCGTTCTTCCGGAAGCGGTCACAGGCCCCTCCGTGACGCAGGGCCCCTCGGAGCGTCCTGTGGGGTTTCCATGGCGCTCCCCTCAGCCCCTAGTCTCTCCGCCTCCTCTGCAGCCTAAGCTCCGGGAACGGGCAGGGGAGCGCCGGGTCCCGCCTGCGACGGCGCCGGCGCCTGGGGGAGGGGCCTGGCGCGCAGGCGACGCTCTAGGCGGGCGCGCTCGCGTCTCTATGGTGCCGGGCGCTCCCGCGCGCCGCTCCCGCGCGCCGGGGCGGACGTTGCCCCTTTAAGCGGCGGCGGGCGGGGCCGAGGAGGTCCCGCGAGAGCGGCGGGGGGCGGGGGGCGGCGCCGAGGCTGGGGGCCCGCGGCCGATGGAGCCCGCGATGGAGCCGGAGACGCTGGAGGCGCGAATCAGTGAGTGTCCGGGAGGGGCGCGGGCCGGACCGGAACCGGAACCGGGGGCGCGAGGCGGGCCCCTTCCCGGCGGAGGCGGGGTACGCGGCGCCCCCTCCTCACGCCCCGCCCCAGCCCAGGAGGGGCGGCGCCCCGAGTCCGGCGCGCCGACCCCGGGGGAAGGAGGACCTGCGGCCGGACGCCGCCCACCCGCCCCGAGCCCGGGCGGCGACCCCGGCCGGGCGTGGGCCGTGCCCCCAGCCCCCCGGACGCGGCAGCAGCCTCCGCGGCCTTCCGAGCTGCTCCTCGGGGCCTGGGCGGGGGGCGAGCCCGCGGACCCGGGAGGAAGTCGGGCCTGAACCGGCTGCTCCTGGGTCCTGCGGGGCGCGACTCCCTCCCGTCCGTTCTCCCTGGCGCTGCGGGAGGGCAGGACCCCGGCGGCGTCCGCACCTCCGTCCGAGGCCCCTGTCCCGTGCTCGGTGCTCGCGCGCCCCGCACCCGCACCCCGCCCCCGGGCCAGCCTCCCCCGACCCAGTGACCGCTCTCCCCAGGGCTTCCCTCGCGCCAGGGACCCGGGACGCCTCCGGGTCTCCCCTCGGCTCAGCCTCTAGGAGAAGCTGGGCAGGGCGATTTGGGGTCGTGGCCGGCCCCCTTTAAGCCGGTCTTGAGCAGAGTTGAACCCTGAGGTTGGCCGCAGAACCGCACCGTCCCCAGGGATGACTCAAAGTCACGGCCGGCCGGCGCGGGGGCAGGCAGGGAGAGGAGGCGCTGGGCGGCCCTTGACCTTTCTGGAAGCCACAGGTGTCCAGGTCCGGCAGCCTGGGGGATGGGCAGGGCCTTGGCTGAGCAGGCCCAAAGAGGCTACAGGACTTGGTCCGCGTCCGTGGCGACACCAGCCCCTCTCGGGTTTAGCAACCGAGAGGCCGGAGTCTGGGAGCTGGCAGGAGTCAGGACACCGGGGCTCAGCTGGACCCTGCTGTCCGGCGGCCTGGAGGTCCCTGGGCGCTTCCCTGGCGGAGCCCGAGGCAGAACGGCTTGGGGGGGAGTGATCCCAGTGACAGTGGCTCCGCCGCGGTGGGGGCTGGGCCCTGAAAGGCTGTCCCCCCCCCAGGGAGGGGGCTCCCCCACCCCACCCCGAGGAGTTAAGGGGGCTGGGGGCCGGGCAGGGGAGGGAGCTGTGTCTCGTGATGCTGTACTTCCTCCCCGCCGGCTCTGCCACTCGCTGCAGGGCCACCAAGCGGCCTGGTCCCACGGGTGCCCCCTGGTCTCTGGCCGCGCTGTGGGGAAGGAGGGGGCTCAGCAGGTCTTCCCTAAGAGGGGCCGGGAGGTCCTGCGGGCCTGTGTCCCCACGAGCAGCTGCCGGACGCCCTCTTCCTCCCCTGTGCGACTGGGCCTGGTGCCTGGCCTGGCCGGCGGTGTGTCCGCCCTGGCTCGCTCCTTCTTCCCGCCAGACCCGTGTGTGTGTGTGTGTGTGTGTGTGTGTGTGTGTAATGTTTATCACTCCCCAAATGTCCAGTGTGTGTGTGTGTGTGTGTGTGTGTAATGTTTATCACTCCCCAAATGTCCAGTGTGTGTGTGTGTGTGTGTGTGTTTAATGTTTATTTGTTTTACTTGAAAGGCAGAGAGAGAGGTCTTCCTTCTGCTGGTTCACTCCCCAATGTCCACAGTAGCCAGGGATGGACCAGGCTGAAGCCAGGAGCCCAGAACTCCCTCTGGCTCTCCCAGAGGGGTGGCAGGGCCCACTTGGGCCGGCATCCACTGCCTCTCGGGACACACGAGCAAGAAGCGAGATTGGAGGCAGAGGGGCCGAGACGGGAACCGGCACAGATGCGCACGGGACTGCTCTAGCCGGGCCTTAGCCCAGTGCGCCCCGACCGCTGTAGCCTAGGCCCCTGGAGTGTGCATGGAACGCGGAGGACTTGAATGACAGCCGCCAGGCACAAGGCTGCCAGGGCTCAGGCCCCCAGCCCGTGCTGGCCCCAGCCTCGTCCTGTCCTCAGGCCCTGCAGAGCTGGCTTAGAAGGGTGACGCTTGGAGCCCAGCTGCCCCGTGGCCTCACGGGCGGTGTTGTGTCCACAGTGTCTCAGTGCAGCTGAGGGGTCGGGGGTGGAGGCCAGGGGAGGTCATGTGAGCCCCGTTGTTGCTGAACCTCATTAGGGGCCAAGGCGGCAGGGGTCGGGCCTTGCTCGCTGGTGCCCTCCTGTGTGCCCTTTCCCGGCCACCACCCGTCCCCACACCTTGCCCCTGCCTGCCCAGGTGCGCACGGCAGCTGGGATGCGGCGTGACCGCAGCCTTGGGTCAGTGCCCTGGCCCGGCAAGGCCGCCGTGGGTGGGTGACACTGAGCCATTGCCAAGGAGACTTGGTGAAGCCAGCGTGGCGGAAGGAGCCACACGCCTGCCACCTCTGCTGTGCCTGGGCCCCGACACCGTGTGTCCCCTGGAGCTGGTCAGGGTGGAGTCCCAGCACCAGCCACCTCAGCTCCTGCAGGTCCTTGCCCCGGCCCCCCGCCCCCGGCCCAAGCCCCGCCTCCATCACTCTTACTAAGAGCTGGCTTCCCCGGCCCTGCCCGCCACACAGCTCCTTGAGCACGGCTGGTTTTTGTTTTGTTTTATCCGTAAAGATGTATTTATTTGAAAAGCAGTTAGAGAGAGAGAGAGGTCTTCCACCTGCTGGTTCACTCCCCAAATGGCCACAATGGCCGGGTCTGGGCCAGGCTGAAGCCAGGAGCCTGGAGCCTCCTCCAGGTGTCCCACGTGGGTGCGGGGCCCCAAGCACGTAGGCCGTCCTCCGCTGCTTTCCCAGCTGTTAGCAGGGAGCTGGATGGGACGTGGAGCAGCCGGGTCTTGAACCGGCACCCTTATGGGATGCCAGCGTCGCAGGTGGCGGCTTCCCCTGCTGTGCCTGGCTGTTTCCTTCCCCGTGGGTCTTCTTAGCACAGGTGCGCTGAGAAGGGAGGCGGGAAGTCAGGGAGGCCTCTCCGAGTGCTTCCCTCACCTGACGGGCTGGCTGCCTGGGGCGGGGGGGGACCAGGGACCCCGCGCAGGCCGCTGACCCCTCCTCCTGCAGACAGAGCCACGAACCCCCTGAACAAGGAGCTGGACTGGGCCAGCATCAACGGCTTCTGCGAGCAGCTCAGCGAGGACTTTGAGGGGTAGGTGCCCGCGTGCCCGGCCCCCGGGAAGGCCGGAGGCACTGGCAGCCCGACGGCGACCCTGGCCGCTGGGGCCGAGTGCCGCCCGGGGGGCAGCGCTGGCCGGGGCCTTGCTGGGCCCCTCACAGGGGAAGAAAGCCCCCCCTGAGCCTCGGGGCCTCGGAGAGGAAGTGGCGGCCCTGAGCTCTCCTGGGGTCCCATGGCCGGCTGGGAGGGGGCCGGCAGAGCCTTGCGCGGGGGCGGGGCACAGTGCCCGTCCTCGGGCTGCCCAGAGCTGACCTCCGGCGGGGCGTCGGGAGGGGCCTCCTCGGGTGGCGGGCGGTGCTAAGGCGGGGCCATCGTGCCTGCGCTCTGCTTTGGAGTCAGCCTGGTTCCGTGGGAACACCCCCCCCCCCCCGCGGAGTGCTCGGGGCTCGCTGTCCAGCGGGAGTGACGGTGCTGCCCGCCTCTCGACTCTGCAGTTGGCAGGAGAGCACGTGTGCCACCTGCTGTCACTCCCTGGTGATGCCCCCCCCCCCCCCCCCCCCGTGAGGCTGCCGACGCCCCTCGCAGGAGGTCCTTTGCTCCCAGGCCGGCTCCCGCAGCGCCGCACCAGCAGGAGGCTGAGCCTGCCTGCCCCGCCCCACCCGGTCCTGGGCTGCGTCCTGGCCAGAGCGCGAGCCGGGCCTTTGCATGTGCCCGTGTGAGTGGGGTGCCGCGGGCTCCGGGGGGTCACGCCTCTGCGTCCTTCCCTCCCAGGCCTCCGCTTGCCACCCGGCTGCTGGCCCACAAGATCCAGTCCCCGCAGGAGTGGGAGGCCCTCCAGGCCCTGACGGTGAGGAGAGGGGGGCGGCGCTCTGTCCCCGGGCCACGCGATGGCACTGGGGGTGCCAAGGTGCAGGCCATTCCCTGGGGGCGCCCCGGTCGTGCTGCCTTGGGGGTCCGCGCGCCCCCAGGCCCAGCACAGCGCAGTCCCGGGGGCGGGGGCGAAACTGCACTTCCCTGAAGGAGCAGAGTGGGCGCCGTCCCCACGCACGTAGGACAGCGCTGGTGGGGCCGTGGCGGGGAGCGCTTTTCCTGTGCCGACAACGGCTGGGGTGGTGTGTCATGTCCTCACGGCACAGACGGCACGGCAGGACGCCTGGTCAGTGGTGCCCGCCGACGGTTAAAAAGAGCGGAGGAGAACCCGGGAAGCCAACGAGCAGGGTTCTCAGAAGGGGCTCCCGGGGCGCTTGGGGGCTCCCTACCCAGGACCCAGTCTGTCCATCCCCGTCCGTCCGTCCGTCCGCGGGCTCTGGGCGTGGCCTGGGTGTGGAGGCGGGGCCTCACGCCCGCGCCTGCGCAGGTGCTGGAGACATGCATGAAGAGCTGCGGCAAGCGCTTCCACGACGAGGTGGGCAAGTTCCGCTTCCTCAACGAGCTCATCAAGGTCGTGTCTCCCAAGGTGGGTGCTGCAGCCGGCCGCCCTGCTCAGGCCCCGCCCCCGCGCCAGCCTGGGGGCCGCGGGAGGGGCGAGCGCGGGCCTGCCCCACCCCCACCCCCGCGCCAGCCTGGGGGCCGCTCCCTGCACGCCTCGGCTCCGGCACGTGCCCCTGAGCCCACCACACACGGGGGCCTCCAGGTGCTAAAGAGAGACGGAGCCTGGGGCGCCCTCGCACGGGAGCAGTGCCGTAAGTGAGCGCCCACACCCTCCTCCTCCCCCGTGGGCTGCTGGGAGCGGCTCGGAGCCGCACGTCCACGTCCACGTGGGAGCCTCTGGCTCCTCCCCCTGGGGTCTCAAGGGTCAGTGTCCGTGAGCCGGCTCTGCGCCTGGGCTGCGCGCTGGGCCTTCCCCATACCCACTCCGCAGCCTCACCCCAGAGCCGCGTGCAGGTGGGGAGACCTGGGAGCAGGCGCCCCTGGCTGGCGAGTGGCAGAGCTGGGCGGGAACCCCGTCTGCGCTGGGCTGCACCCGTGGTCCAGACGCCTTCGGAGGGGGCTCTGGGGAGGCAGCCAGGCTCGGGCTGGGCCCGGGCGGGGACCGAGTGGATATTGATGGTGTCACCCACGGCCACACGAGAGGACCCGCTGAGAGATGGCCCACTGTGGAGCTGCTGAACAGCCGGAGGGCCAGGTGTGCCCCGCCCTGGGCGTCACAGCCGCCCCTCCCCTGTGCCCCCAGTACCTGGGCTCCCGGACGTCCGAGAAGGTGAAGGGCAGGGTCCTGGAGCTGCTGTACAGCTGGACGGTCGGCCTGCCCGAGGAGGCCAAGATCGCCGAGGCCTACCAGATGCTCAAGAAGCAGGGTGAGGCCCCGCCCCCGCGCTCCCGGCCAGCGGGGCTTCCTCGGGGAACCCCAGTGTGGGTGCCCAGCCCCTCTCCCCATGCCTCTTGACATGAGAGTCGGGGTAGGCTGGCACCAAGTCCAGAGCCAGCGCCAGCCTGCTGGAGAGAGGCTGACCCCCACCCGCTCTGCCCCGCCTCTCCCCGGGCACCTGGGCCCTGCTGGAGACTGACCCCCACCCCGCTCCGCCCCGCCTCTCCCCGGGCACCTGGGCCCTGCTGGAGAGAGGCTGACCCCCACCCCACTCCGCCCCGCCTCTCCCCGGGCACCTGGGCCCTGCTGGAGACTGACCCCCACCCCGCTCCGCCCCGCCTCTCCCCGGGCACCTGGGCCCTGCTGGACAGAGGCTGACCCCCACCCCGCTCCGCCCCGCCTCTCCCCGGGCACCTGGGCCCTGCTGGAGACTGACCCCCACCCCGCTCCGCCCCGCCTCTCCCCGGGCACCTGGGCCCTGCTGGACAGAGGCTGACCCCCACCCCGCTCCGCCCCGCCTCTCCCCGGGCACCTGGGCCCTGCTGGACAGAGGCTGACCCCCACCCCACTCCGCCCCGCCTCTCCCCGGGCACCTGAGCCCTGCTGGAGACTGACCCCCCACCCCGCTCCATCCCGCCTCTCTCCGGGCACCTGGGCCCTGCTGGACAGAGGCTGACCCCCACCCCGCTCCGCCCCGCCTCTCCCCGGGCACCTGGGCCCTGCTGGAGACTGACCCCCACCCCACTCCGCCCCGCCTCTCCCTGGGCCCTGCTGGAGAGAGGCTGACCCCCACCCTGCTCCGCCCCGCCTCTCCCCGGGCACCTGGGCCCTGCTGGACAGAGGCTGACCCCCACCCTGCTCCGCCCCGCCTCTCCCCGCTGGCCCGGTCACCTCAGGGATAGTGAAGTCTGACCCCAAGCTCCCGGACGACGCCATCTTCGCCCTTCCTCCTCCACGGCCCAAGAACGTCATCTTTGAAGATGAGGAGAAATCCAAGGTGAGGGGCCCGGGAGCAGCAGCGGGCAGAGGCGCGGGGCCACCCTCTCAGGCGTTTCCTGCAGAGCCCCCTCCGGCCCCGGCCCCGGCCCCAGCGCTGCCCGGAGTCCCGGCCCCCGCCCCCACCCCGCCCCTGCCCCGAGTCCCAGCCCAGAGTCCCCGCCCCCGCCCCGAGTCCCAGCCCCTCTGTCTGCGCAGATGCTGGCCCGCCTGCTCAAGAGCTCGCACCCTGAGGACCTCCGAGCAGCCAACAAGCTCATCAAGGACATGGTGCAGGAGGTGAGGGCGGGCGGGGCCGGCGGGGGGGGGACAGGTTCCGATGGGACTGTGGCATGGGGGGGGCGGGTTCCAAGGTGGGACTGGGCATGGTGGGGGGGGGGGACATTGTTGGGGGGGCAGGTTCCGAGGTGGGACTGTGTGCATGTGGGGGGGGGACATTGTTGGGGGGGCAGGTTCCAAGGTGGGACTGTGGGCATGGTGGGGGGGACGGGTTCCGAGGTGGGACTGGGCATGGTGGGGGGGGGGACATTGTTGGGGGGACGGGTTCCAAGGTGGGACTGTGGGCATGGTGGGGGGGACGGGTTCCGAGGTGGGACTGGGCATGGTGGGGGGGGGACATTGTTGGGGGGACGGGTTCCAAGGTGGGACTGTGGGCATGGTGGGGGGGACGGGTTCCGAGGTGGGACTGTGGGCATGTCGGGGGGGTGATAGGTTCCGAGGTGGGACTGTGGGGGGGGGGCAGGGCATGGCGCTGGGCGGGGCTCTGAGCTGGGGCTGGGTGTGCATGGGAGCAGGGCTCCCTGTGCACAGGTTCCCGCCAGCACCGCTGACAGCGCCAGTAGCTCGGGACCGGTGTGCCGGGGACGCGTTTCCAGCCCGTGAGCCTCCGGGCTGGCCAGCTGCCGCACAGACTTGAGAAGTAGATGAGACCATAGTGTGGTTAAATGTTTACATACATACATAGCATGCTTAGATACGTGTAGACATACGAAGAGAGTAGTATGTGGTGTGGTTTTTTTTTTTTTTTAAGATTTATTCTTTTGAAAGATGACAGAGAAACAGGGAGAGACACTACTGGTTGGCATCTGCTGGCTCACTTCCCAGATGGCTGCAGCAGCCAGGGCTGGGCCAGGCTGAAGCCAGGAGCTTCTTCCCGTTCTCCCAAGCGGGTGCAGAGGCCCAGCACTTGGGCCAGCCTCCACTGCCTTCCCAGGCGCATTGGCAGGGCGCTGGATCGGCAGCGGAGCAGCGCCCCTGTGGGGTGCGTGCGTTGCAGGTGGCAGCTTTGCCCGCTGCGCTCAGCGCCGGCCCCGGAAGTTCCTGTGAACGAGGACACATCACTGCCGTTGGCAGGCGCTCCCTGGGTGTGGGGTCCATCAAGGGCACCCGGCAGGGCCGGGGCCACAGCACGGGCGTCCCTGGGGCAGGAAGAGGCAGCGCCCTCCCATCGTGTGCAGGGTGCGCACCCAGCCACAGCCCGGTGTCGCCAGGTCGTCAGATCCCGAGCTCTCCCGTCACTCCCGGTAGCGGCCACCTCCCGGCACAGCTGCACCAGAACTGGCTGCTCCTTCTGGGGCTGAATGCGGTCTGCATGGCTTGGCCTAGGGCTGAGCGAGGGCTGAGGGCTCCCCTGGGCGCTCCTGCAGCCGGGGGCAAGAGGCCCAGGCAGTGGACGCCTGAGGTCGTCTGCCGCCTGCTCTGCCAGCCCTCACGGGCCAGGTCGGGCCCGGGTCACTCCTGCAGCTGCCTTGCCAGGCCCCGGCCCCTGCTCCTGCTCTGTGTGCGCCAGGCCCCGGCTCCTGCTCCTGCTCCTGTGTGCGCCAGGCCCTGGCTGGCACCGGGAGGGCTGCAGCGCCCACTGCTCGGCTGTGTGTGGTGAAAGGCCCCTTTCACTGTAGAGCCGGCACGCAGGGGGCGTCGCGGAGGTTCAAGGCTCAGGCCCTGGTCCCTCAGAAGCACCTGAGTGGTGGGAATCCGGACCCCAGGCCTTCTCTGGGGGTTCTGTTGGGCTCATGCAGAGGCCTGGGGCCGGGGGTGCTGGCCAGAGAGGAAGCGCCTGCAGGGTGACAGGGTGCTTTGTCCTGAGTGTGGAGGGGCGTGCGCTCAGCAGGGTCTGAGGACCCCCAGCAGACTCCCCAGGGGCAAGGGGCAAAGGGCAGGGGGCGGGGCATGGAGGCCAGCTCCCGTTTCTGCTGCTTCTGCAGGACCAGAAGCGGATGGAGAAGATCTCGCGGCGGGTCAGTGCCATCGAGGAGGTGAACAGCAACGTGAGGCTGCTCACGGAGATGGTGATGAGCCACAGCCAGGGCGGCGCGCCCTCGGGCGGCAGCGAGGACCTCATGAAGGTGCCTGCACCTCCCGTCCCCTCCCCTCCCCTCCCCGCTCCGGGCCCACCCCGGAGGCCCTGGCCACCCTGATCCCCCTGCCCTGCCGCCCCCAGGAACTATACCAGCGGTGTGAGCGGATGCGGCCCACGCTCTTCCGACTGGCCAGCGACACCGAGGACAACGACGAGGCCTTAGGTGAGCCCAGGCCTGGCCCGACCCCGCCCTCCGCTTCTCTCTCCTGCCCAGCCCCCAGCCCCGCGGAATGCCTGCAGTGAGAGGGAGCCTCCACCAGAGGGTGCCCTCCTCCACCGGCGAGCTAGGCCTCTGCCCTTGCAGGAGGGAGCAGAGAGCAGGGGCTCCCGCAGCTGGGAGAGCCTTTGGGCCAGGGTCCTCTGTGGGCACGGGCTGCACGGCACTGTCCCGTATCGGGTGGGAGGTGACAGAGCCAGAGGGGACCAAGGGCCGCTGCCTCGGAGCCGTTCCAGAGCCGAGCTGGGGGCGTCTGGCTGGGCTCCTGGGGCAGGTGTCTGGGAGTCCACCTGGCACCTGAGTGTGAGGGGACGGCCACCCGCAGGGTGTGGCAGGGGCCTCCTCCTGGAGCTTGGAGCCTGCTAGCGGGGGTGGCCGTGAACCACTTCCGTGAACGGTGACCGTGGCAGGAGAGAAGTGGGGGGAGGGAGGCAGGGTAGGGTGGGCTTAGGAGCAGCCTCCCAGGTGCCTCCTGGGCAAAGACCGAGGCAGCGAGGGGCCAGGAAGCGAGAAGATGCAGACGCGAGGCAGCCCCGTGCCAGGGCCCAGGGCCAGCCCGGCAGCGTGGCTGAGGGGGTGACAGAGGGGCGGGCGGAGGCTGAGCGGACGAGACGAGGACCCCCGCCCCGCCTCATACACAGGCGGGGCTGCACGCGGGGTCTCCCGCGGTCCCTCAGCCTGGCTGCCCCTCCCGCCTTGCAGCCGAGATCCTGCAGGCCAATGACAACCTCACCCAGGTGATCAACCTGTACAAGCAGCTGGTGCGCGGCGAGGAAGTCAACGGGGACGCCACGGCCAGCGCCATCCCTGGTGAGGAGGAGGCCGGGCGGGGCCTGCCGTGCCCGTGTGTGTGTGTGTGTGTGTCTGTGTGTGCCCGTGTGTGCATCTCTGTGTGTCTCAGTGTGTGTGTACCTGTGTCTGTGTGTGTGTGCCTGTGTCTCAGTGTGTGTGTGCTTGTGTCCATGTCTGCGTCTCAGTGTGTGTGTGCCTGTGTCTGTGTGTGTACCTGTGTCTGTGTGTGTGTCTCAGTGTGTGTGTACCTGTGCCTATGTGTCTCTGTGTGTATGTATCTGTGTGTGTATCTGTGTGTGTCTGTATATCTCTGTGTGTGTGTATCTCCGTGTGTGTGTGTGTGAGTGTATTATCTGTGTGTGCATGTGTGTTTCTGGGTGTGTGTGTGCATCTCTGTATCTGTGTGCGTGTGTATGTATGTGTGTGTGTGTATATATGTGTGTATGTGTCTGTGTGTATCTCCATGTGTCTCTGTCTCTGTGTGTATATGTCCGTGTGTGTGTGAATGTATTATCTGTGTGTGCATGTGTGTTTCTGGGTGTGTGTGCATCTCTATCTGCGTGCGTGTGTATGTATGTGTGTGTGTGTATCTCTGTGTATGTATCTGCGTGGGTGTGTCTGTGTGTGTGTCTTTCTGTATATGTATTCGTGTGTGCATGTGCGTATCTGTGTGTATGTGTATATTTATGTTTGCGTATGTATCTGTGTGTATGTCTGTGTGTATCCGTGTGTGTATGCACGTATCTGTATGTATATCTCTGTGTGTACATATATCTATTGATGTGTATATGTGTATGTATGTACGTATCTGTCTCTGCGTGTGTATGTGTATGTATGTATGTGTGTATCTATGTGTGTGTATCTGTGTGTACGTATCCGTGTGTATGTGTGTGTGTCTGTGTGTATCTGTGTATGTGCATGTATGTATGTATCCATGCGTGTCTGTGTGTCTGTGTCTCTGTGTCTGTGTGTGTACACGTACCGAGGGTGTAAGGTGGCACCAGTCCCACAGCTGGCCCGGTGAGGGAGGTGGGGAGGGCCCCAGGGAGAGAGCTGGGGGACGGCCGTGCTGGGCCGCGCCCGCAGCTGTGGGGGAGGCAGTGTGTGCTGGGGCGAGGGCTTGGAGAGCCCAGTGGGAAGGCAGCTTGTCTTCCTGTCCCGGGGCTGGGTGACACCGCCGGGCCTGCCGGAGGGAGAGCAGGCAGGAGGGAGTCGCCTGCTGAGCTCGGCACGGGTCGGGGGAGGTTGGCATTGGCTGCGGGGTGTGCCCCAGGGGCAGCCATGGCTTAGTGTGGCCTTAAGGCCGAAGGGCAGCTCGCCCAGCAAAGCTAGGAGGACAGTACGGGCACGGCCCCGCCACGCGGGCACTGGGCGTGTTTGCAGTGAGGGCAGCCCCTGACGACACGCCCCTCAGAGGGCTCCCTGTCCTGTCGTCACGTGACACAGACAGAAGTGCCACGTGGCCAAGGAGGGGGAGGCAGGAGGCCAGCAGGGGTGAGGGTGGGGCTAGGCATTGCTCCCCCCAAAAGCTCCGGGGACCCCAAGACCCAGTGTCCTCCACCCAGGCCCTGCTGGACGCTCCCCTCCCGCCCTAGGGAGCACGTCAGCCCTGCTGGACCTCTCGGGCCTGGACCTCCCTCCTGCCGGGGCCACGCCCCTGGCCCCGCCTCCTGGCCCTGGCAGCCAGGCCAGCCCGGAGCAGCTCAGCGCCTCAGTTTCCCTGCTTGACGACGAGCTCATGTCCCTGGGTAAGGAAGGGGCCAGGCTGGAGGGGCGGGCTCCGCCGTGGGAGTGGTGCGTGTGTGGCTGTGTAGGATGGCGCCGCCCTCAGTGTGAATCGTGGGCAGTAGGCCCATTTCACAGATGAGGCAGCCGAGGCTCAGAGAACGAGGCTGCGCCTGCTGGCAAGCTGGAGGGCAGGGACGCCCTGGCAGGGTTCCCTCCCCGCTCGTGCTCGGGGAACGAGGTGCGCTTTGCACTTCCTGTCCCCCAGGTGTTCAGCAGAGCCCTGGGCCCCCAGCCCCCTTCTGGTTTCTTCTCACACGCACAGAGGCCCTGTGCCAGGGCCGCAGTACGCAGCCGCGCCCTGGGACTGGAGGAAGCCTCAGGCCCTCGCTGTGGCCCCGGCAGGGGGGTGAGGGCTGGTGGACGGGGCTGTGTCCCAGCTCAGCAGCCCGAGGTCACGCAGTGAAGCGGCAGAACAGTGCCAAGTCCACGGCCAGCAGGAGCCGTCCGAGTCTGGACTCTGCTGCTCTCCGCTGTCTGACCTTGGGCGCGTGACTGCACCCCCGGGCCCCCGGCCTCATCCTTAGGAGAGCCGAGCATCCCACTCCGACCTTTGAGAGCTGGAGGACTCGGCGGGTCCTGCATCGCCAGCACGCGGCCTGTAGGGCCACCGTAAGCATTAGCGTTGCCGCCGTGGTGTCTCTGGGGACACATCACAAGAAGAGACCCGGCGGTCACGTGGTGGTCACGTGGTGGTCACCTGGCACTGCGGTCAGGAGCTGGGCCACCCAGGCTGCGGCAGAAGGGGGGACTCGTCTTCCAGCGGTCAGCCTGGTGTCGCAGGGAGGTGGCGGCCACTGCCTCCTGCTAGGGAGCCGCTCCCTGCCGCCCTGGCCTCGGCCCCGGCCCCGCGGCACCGGCTGGCGCCCCGGTTGGCCTTGCTGGCCCTGCAGAGTAGGCCCAGCCCGCACCGTCACTGCACGCATGGGGACACAGGCTCGGCCAGCGCCCTGCTCGCCCTCCTCAGCCCCGACACAGGGAAGTCCTGAGGCCTCGTGCGCAGGCGGAAGCCAGCGTGGGCCGCCCGAGGCTCCGCCTTGCCTCCCTGCCCTGGCCCTGTCCCTGGGATCCTGTGGGACTCGCGTCTGAATGGAGCCTCTCGGAAAGGCGGGGGTGGGGGTGGTAGGAGCTGGGAGCCCCCCCGCAGGCTCCCGGTCGCCCTCTGTGGTCAGCCCTGCTCCTCCACCTGGGTCCTCTCCCGCAGGCCTGAGCGACCCCACACCCGCTGCGGGCCCCGGCTTGGATGGCGCCGGGTGGAACAGCTTCCAGGTAGGGTGCGCCTGGCACCAGCCTGCCCAGTCCCACGTCTGGCGCAGGGGCAGCAGGGAAGCGCACGGGGCCTCGGGGCTCCAGGCTGTGGGGTGACGGCAGCCCAGGGGCTGGAGGCACCATGGGTCCTCTCCTCCCTGGCCCTCCTGCTGGGTCTTCCCCATCTCTGCCTCGGGTCTCCCCTGGGGCTGCCACCCCACCTGGGGGGGGGGGGGGTTGGGAGGAGGGCTTTCCCTGAGGGGACCCTTGAGGTCTGCAGAGCACAGCGGAGGCTCTGCTGTCCCCAGAGGCACCTGCCATGAGGGGAAGGAGCCTCAGGGCGGGGCCAGGGCCCCCTCCCCCCACGACTCTTCCCACAGCCGCACCCCTGCGTCTTTTGGCCCACAGTCCTCCGAGGGCACTGAGCCCCCAGCCCCCACTCCGGCCCAGGCCCCCAGCACGCACAGCCGCCCCCCGGCACCGGCGTCCGTGCCGACGAGCAGCGGCCTGGATGACCTGGACCTGCTGGGGAAGACACTCCTGCAGCAGTCGCTGCCCCCGGAGTCCCAGCAAGTGCGGTGGTGAGCGCTGCCCCCGGCCGGCTGTGCCCAGCGCCAGCCGCTTCTCCCGGCCCGCAGGGAGGGAGGCGTCGCTGGTTTACTCCTGGCAGCCCAGGACGGGGTGGGGGGGCAGGAGAGGCCTGCAAGGTCTCAGCCTGGACATGGAGCTGAGACAGAGGGGACCCAGGCCTTCCTGTAGGCCCAGAGCCAGGGCACAGAGGGGAGGGCGTGGGCGGATCCCAGGTGAGGAGACCCCAGGCCAGAGAGACTAGCTAGTGACCAAGCCAGAGCCCCGCCGCTGAGTAGCGCCCGTCCCCCAATAAGGGAGAAGCCGCAGCCAGCGCCCCGGCTCACGCTGCGGGACCTGCAGAGCAAGAGCAGCGGCAGCTCGCCCAGCTCCAGCGCCGGCTCCAGCGCCGGCAGCCTGCTCCACGCCACGTCCCCGGAGCCCCCTGCGCCCGCGCAGCAGCCCACGCCCACCGAGCTCTCCCTTGCCAGCATCACTGTGCCCTTGGAGTCCATCAAACCCAGTGAGTGGGCTCGGTCCAGGGGAGGAGGCTTGGGTCTCCCCAGGGTCATAGAACCGGCCTGCAGGCCACTGCCCGGCACCAGGTCCCGAACAGAAGGGTGGGCGCCGGCTGTCGTCCGTGAACTCGCTGGACCCGAGCTCTCGCTGGTCCCTCTCTCGGGCTGCGGCCTCTCGGGATCCCAGCATGGGGGGAGCCCCAGACAGCAGCCCTGCGGGGGCTGTGCCATGTGCCGAGCACCGCCCTCCCACGCTCGCCCTGCAGGCAGCATCTTGCCCGTGACTGTGTACGACCAGCATGGCTTCCGCGTCCTCTTCCACTTCGCCCGCGACCCCCTGCCGGGGCGCGCCGACGTGCTGGTGGTGGTGGTGTCCATGCTGAGCACAGCGCCCCAGCCCATCCGCAACATCGTCTTCCAGTCGGCTGTCCCCAAGGTGACAGCATGGGGCAGGTGGGGCGGGGCAGGGGCGGGGCAGGCAGGGAGAGCAGCAGGGCCCACGGAGCCCTTGTCCCCCGTGCCCGCAGGTCATGAAAGTGAAGCTGCAGCCACCCTCGGGCACGGAGCTGCCCGCCTTCAACCCCATCGTGCACCCCTCAGCCATCACCCAGGTCCTGCTCCTCGCCAACCCGCAGAAGGTGAGGGCCCGGCCAGGAGCTGGCCACGCGGGGCGGGGCGGGACGCCCTCCCCCACTGACCTCTGCTTCCCCGTGTCTGCCGCAGGAGAAGGTTCGCCTCCGCTACAAGCTCATCTTCACCATGGGCGACCAGACCTACAACGAGATGGGGGACGTGGACCAGTTCCCCCCGCCCGAGACCTGGGGCAGCCTCTAGAACGGGGAGGAGGGCGGGGCCGAGCCACCGGCCAGCCCGGGACCCCCTGTGCGCCCCGCGGCCACGCCTCCGCCCCGGCCTGGTGCTTTGCCCCACCCCTGCGGCTCCCAGTGACTCTGCCTGCTCCCTCCTGAGGCTGGGCCTGGGTTTGCACTTCTGGGGCCCCAGCACCAGTGGGAGCCTGGGGCCGAGACGGGCTGCATGGGCCTGGAAGGACCTTGGGTGGCGGGAAGAAGCAGGCTGTTGGGGAAGGGCAGGCGTGGAGGCAGCCCCACCCCGGCCTGCGGCGGCGTCTTTACCGCCTGTCTCTTATGCCTTATGGGAAGGCCCAGCCATAACCCGGGAGCCGTGCTGGAGCTGGGGCCAGCCTCGCCTCCGCCATAGGACGCCCGTGAACGGGGGTGGCCCTGCACCCCCAGCTATTTGCACTCTGGTGTGTGGTTTGACTCCGCTTTTCTTTCAGAGTGGCCCTGTGGTCACGGTCGCAGGGGGCTGCACCGGGGGAGCCCCACCCGGCCCCACCTCTGCCCAGGAGGCCTCCCTCGGCCCCGGGTCTGCTGTGGGGCTGTGGGGCCCCTGGAGTCCTCAGTGTGACCCCTTCGGTCCTTGGCCTCTGCTGGGGCCTCCTGTCCACCCCCGTCCGTGGTCAGAAGTGGGCTCAGTGTGAGTGGGAGGAGTATTTATGAAAATAAAATGTCCATTTTCCTGGACTGGCCGCTCGCAGGGCCCTCTCTGCCTCCGTCATCTCTGGCCGCCCTCCGCCACCCGCTCCGGGGGCTGCAGCCACTGCTGAGTCACCAGCGGGCCCTGGGCTGCGGCCACCCCCGCCGTCCCAGCTGGAAGTGAGCGGCCGCCAGGGCTGCCGGCGCCCCAGCTGCTGCGGCCGCCGAGGGGGAGGCCCCAGCTGCTCAGCTTCCTCCTGCTCTGCTCAGCCCCAAACGGCGGCGAGGCTGCACCGCCCCTGGCCGGGGCCCCGCTGCTCCCTGTCCTGGGGCCCAGGAAGCGGCGCCGCGGCAGCTTGTGTGGGTGCAGGCCCTGGGCCCCTGCCTCCGCAGGCCCTGCCCACCCGCCCTGGTCTTGGGGCTCTGTAGCAGGCCCACCGTGCAGAGCGGGGGAGGAGGGCTCCGGCCAAGGGCAGCCAGCGCCACGCCGCCACGCTCCGCTCTGCAGGAAGCAGCCCTCCATTCCTCCTGAGCCCCGGCGCCCAGGAAGGGCCCTGGGAAGTCCCGCTCGGAGCCATTTTCACTGGCTCAGGCACTGTTTCCCAATCGCAGCTTGGCGGGCAAACCCACGGTCGAGCCAGGCTGGAGGGCGGCCCAGCCTGCGCTTCCTGGCTGTGTGCCCCTCCATTCATCAGCAAATGAGGGACCCCTGTGTGCGGGGGCCCTCACAGGAGGAGCCGGGGGCCCTCTGTGGGCCCCAGCAGCACCTGCGGTGTGGCTCCCACCCTGGACAAGGCCCCAGATGGCCGACCCTCACTGTGGGGCCCCTGGCCTCCCACCCCCCTGCAGGACTCGCCTCCCAGGGGTGACCTAGTTCTAAGGTCCTGTGACGTCGACCTGGGGTGGGGACAGGTGGGGCTGGGGGTGGGGGGCTGGGTCGCCCGCCTGCTGGGTGGCTCCGATCAAGACATCACCCTTTCCGGCCTTCGGGTTCCTTGTTTCAGAAGCCAGGAAGGATCTGGTGAGCTTTGAGGGCCTCCAGGCAGTTTTGGGCGAGACTCCAGACTGCCAGCTTCGGAGGATTTGGGTGTCACAAGGCCTAGGGTCCCTTCCACCTTGCCAGCGGCCCCACCCACGTCCAGGCCGTCCACTCGGCTGGTGTTAGCTTGAGTGGCCCTTGAGCCGGGCACCACTCTTCTCAGCTGGGAAAGACTTGTGAGCCAGCAGCTGCTTGTGCCCTGACAGCTGGGGGGACATGAGGTACCACAGGAACCCTGTAAAGAGCCTGGAATGGGGGCCCATGAGGGGAGGACCCTTGGCCACCCTGCCTGGAGGGCTTGCTCGCTACTTATGGCTGCTCCCCAGCTTCCGGGGTTCCAGCTCCATAAGCCCATCGTGTGTGGGAAATAGCCCGGGGGGCAGTGCACCTGCTCGACCAGCAGCCCCCTGTAGGGGACCAGGGGTCGCCCTCGAGAGCGTGAGGCCACTGCTCCATGACACATGTTCATAGCCTGGGAAAGACAAACGCCAAGGCTGGCTGTCAAAAATGCCGACTCGAGCCGTTGGTGCCCTGTGCCGGTCCAGCCCCCGGGCTGTGGCATTCTCAGGGGCTGGGCAGGGTGTCAACACCGAGAGCGGTGGGACTTCCCTCATCACAAAGCCACGCTGCCGCATGCAGAGGTGGAAGTTCACTCTGAGCGACCACAGCACACGCTGCTCGCGGGCACGCAGCAGCCAAGAGAGCTGGAGAGGCCCCGCCGGCCCGGGCACCAGCCCCCACCTGGTCTCCTGGTGCCCCCTACCCGCCTTCTCTGTGTGCCTCCTGGCAGGGCACAGGCCCAGCACAGGTGGACCAGGGATGCCAGCCCCAGGCCTGGCGCATGCCACGGTGCTGCCTGCAGTCTCTGGTTCCCTCACTGCTCAGATAAAGGCCTCGCGACTCGGGACAGGCTCAAGAGCAGGTGTCCACTACGGGGTCACACTGCCCCTGCCTCCTGAGCCCCCACCCCCACCCACTGCTCCGTCAGCCCGGCCTGCCCTCCTCAGGGGCTGTGGTGAGGGGTGCACAGCCCCGGGGCTCCCTGGAAAGTCCCTGTAGCTTGGGGAGGGGAAAGTCAGTTCTCAGAGCTGCAGAAAGCAGGTGTGGGAGGGGTGGGGGGCGCCACTCAGCGGGCAGCACCGACGCGGCCACAAGCACGCAGTTCATCCCCGTGTCTAAAACGGGCTGTTTTTGCTACACCGCCTTGGCCACTGGCCACTGGCCACGCTGCCCACATCCCACTCCGGCTTCACCAGCAGGCACTACCCGGGGTGTCACAGGTTTTCCCAGGCAAATCTGAGGTCACTGGGCCCCTTGATGTAGCCACAGAGGTTGAGGCCGGCCAAGGGCAGCACCGCCGGAGTTCCCGGGCAGGGCACTTGGGCTCTGCGGGAGGCCAGCTGTGGGCTTTTGTGGGCCCGATGGGCTTTCCAAGTCAACCTGTAGCAGCCAGCCAGCCAGCCGGCCGGCCACCTCGGGCAGGAGCCTGGGATGGGCCCGGCAGGCATTCGGCCCAGCAGTTAGGACGCTGGTCGGTGCGCCACCTCCCGTCGGGAGATGCAGGCCCTGGGAGGCCGCAGCAGTGGCTCCAGTGGTTAAGTTCCTACCTCAACACCTGGATTGCATTCCCGCTTCCAGCCCCAGCCCCTGCCCCGGCCCTGGCCCTGGCCCTGGCCCCGGCCCCGGCCCCTACCCCGGCCCCGGCCCCAGCCACTGTGGGCGTTCGGAGAGTGACCCAGCAGACAGGCGAGCTCGCTCTCTCCACCCCCCCCAAATAAATGGGGCAATGACACCGCCTCACTGGAAGGTGTACCAGGGCACGTGACAATACGTTGCATGGTCCACCCACGGCAGCTGAGCACAGTAGGGGGTCACAGAGGCAGAACCGGGGTGAAGAGGTTTTCCATCCCTGACCTGGTGGACTGAATAATGATGGTAAACACTACCAGGCATTGTCCTCTTCTTTTTTAAAAAATATTTATTTGAAAGGCAGAATTACAGAGTGAGAGACTGTGAGCTTTCATCTGCTGGTTCATTCCTCAAATGCCCACGTGGCCAGGGACAACCCAGGCTGAAGCCAGAGGCCAGGAACTCCATGCTGGTCTCCCACGTGGATGCAGGGGCCCAAGCACTTGGGCTGCCACCTGCTGCTTTCCCAGGTGCATTAGCAGGGAGCTGGACCAGAAGTGGAGCAGCCGGGACTTGAACTGGTGCCCATATGGGATGCCGGCGCTGCAAGCAGCGGCTTTATCCATTATGCCACAGCGCCGGCCCTGCCAGCATGTTTCCGAGGACTGAGCTAGTTACTGCTGTGTTTCCATTTCACACAGGAGACACTGGGCCTCCGAGAGATGAGCTGGACCATCCCAGGCCACCCAGCTCACGAGAGGCTGACCCTGCGGCTGTGTCCATCCGCACCTGTCGGCCCTGTCCTAGCGGCCTGCAGGGTACAGTTGAGCGTCCATTGACGGTGCCGTCACCTGCCGTGACTGTCCGCTCCCCAGACCACGGCCCAGTGCAGGGGCCCAGGGGATTCACCGAGAGCCAGCTGAGCCCCAGGCAGGAGGCCCTGGAGGAAGGGCCCCGGGAGGCTCGGCAGGTGACCGCTCACGTCCCCCGTCTGCACGCACAGTTCTAAAACGCCAGGATCCCAGCACCAGTTGCCTGCAGCTTCTGAGTCCTCAAGATTCGCATTATAGCTGGGATCCAACCTCCCTGTCTGAGCAGGAAAGGCCCTGACTTGTCCCCAGTCCCCAGCCAAGTCACGCAGCAGCCCCACCCAGGTCACGCCCAGCAGAGCTGGGCGTGTCTCCTGCCCAGGACTCCTGGGTCTGGCTGGGGGGACCTCGGAGCAGGGGGACCTGGTCATGAGGCTCCAGCCCTTCCATGGCAGCTGCTGCGACAGCCCCAGAGGATGGATCCCATGCCGGACCAGAGCTCCAGAATTCAGCCTAGACAAGCTGGGGGGGGGGGGGGGGGGACACGGGTCCAAGTCTGGCCTCCGGGGACCTTCAGAGCAGCTGGGGAACTGCAGGGCCCGGGCCCAGTGTGGGCCAGAAGGGGAGGGCACAGTGAAGTCCACAGACTTGGAGGCGCAGGGAGGGGGGGGGGCGGCGCCTGGCGTCTCCAGTGCCCTCACGCTGCACTCGGTAGGTTGTGCCCATGGCAGGGCCAGGGAAACGGGGCCACCTGGAAGTCTGGGGATTGACCAGTGGGGAAGGTGGAGAGGAGAGGACTGGAACCCACACGTTCCAAACTCCAGCTCACCACTTCAAGGAGCCAGGTCTAGTGGCTGCTCCACTTCCGATCCAGCTCCCTGCTAATGCGCCTGGGAAAAGCAGTGGAGAAGGGGCTGGTGCTGTGACATAGCAGGTAAAGCCTCCGCCTGCAGTGGCAGCATCCCATATAGGCACCGGTTCAAGTCCTGGCTGCTCCACTTTAGATCCAGCGCTCTGCTATGGCCTGGGAAAGCAGTAGAAGATGGCCCAAGTCCTTGGGCCCCTGCACCTGCATGGGAGACCCGGAAGAAGCTCCTGGTTCCTGGCTTCGGATCAGCGCAGCTCCAGCTATTGTGGCCAGTTGGGGAGTGAACCAGCAGATGGAAGATTCTCTCTCTCTGCCTCTCCTTCTCTCTGTGTGTAACTCTGACTTTCAAATAATAAATACATCTTTAATTAAAAAAAAAAAGAAAAGAAAAAGAAAGAAAACCAGTGGAGGATGGCTCAGGTGCTTGGGCCCCCCCGCCAGCTACGCGGGAGACCCAGATGAAGCTCCTGGCTCCTGGCTTTGGCTTGGCTTGGTCTTGACCATTCAGGGAGTGAACCAGTGGATGGAAAAATCTCTCTCCCTCTCTCTCTGTAACTCCAATGTTCAAGTAAATAAATCTTAACAAACAAGGAGGACCCCAGGGCGCTGGCGTTTCTCTCATTCCCCAAGCCCTGCCTTCTTTCTGGAACACCCCCCCACCCCCCTACCCCCGTCTCCTTGCGGGAAAGGGGAGGTGGGAGAG